ATGCTGTTGCTGAATTTTTTTATTATTATTATTATTTGACAGGTACCCTCAATACTGGAAGACTCAACGAAGGGTGATAGTTCAAGCTCTGAGGGAGAGGAGGAGGATGAAGATGATGAGGAGGAGAAGTCAGAAGGGGAGGACACACTGGAGGGTGGCAGCCACACTGAGGAAGCACAAATTGACAGAAAGGTACCTAATAGGAACCGAAAATGTTGCCATACATGAATTGTGTCCGTGGGTTGCGAGAATAAGTTGGTATTTCTATGTCTTTCAGGAAAGAAAGAAATTGGTTAAAGAAGGCCAGAGGGAGAAAAGAAAAAATAAAATGCCAAAGCATGTGAAAAAGCGTAAGGAGAAGGTTTCCAAAATGAAGAAAGGAAGATGAATATGGTTGAGATGAAGGTGAACTGAGATTATAGCAGAAACGTTACATGACTGATGGTTCCAGTATTGAAGCTGAGAATTGTTGTTGACGAAATGTCAGTCCCTTAACAATTATAAATACCTAATGTTTATTAAAAATGATTTTTAATAAACTTAATTTTTTATCGTCATACTGCTTGAATGGTGATGGTGGGTAAAATATATCATGTTTTAATGCAGTTTTTGATGTAGTGGAACATTTAATTTACATTGTGCAGAACAGTTTACACAAATATTCATGTTTTACAAGGCAACATGCTGTTAAAAATAATGCTCTCTTTCATATTTAAGTGACAAAATCCTCTTTACAATCTTCTATACATCTTGTACATTTAATATTTATTTCAAAGTTGGTACAAAACTATTACATTACATAAACTACCTTTCCAAAGTTTGGGACGCAAGAGTTTTTTAAAGAAGTCTCTTATGCTCAACAAGGCTGCATTTATTTGATAAAAATTACAGTAAAATTGTAATATTATGAACTAAGAAGATTTTAAAGTAACCGTTTTCTATTTGAATATTTTAAAATGTAATTTATTCCTGTGATGTAAAGTGGGAATTTTATTTATTTCATTTATTTTTATCAATGTTGAAAACAGTTGTGCTGCCTAATGTTAGTTTTTTTTAGAAAGTGTGATTTTTAGTCATTTTTGACGAATAGAAATGTTAAAAGATCAAGATAGAAATGTTTTACAGCAATGTAAATCTTTACTGTCACTTTTGATCAAATTAATTCATCCTTGCTGAATAAAAGTAATCATTAAAAAATAAATAATAATAAAAATCTTAGACAACAAACTTTTGAACAGTAGAGTACATTCACTTACACTGGACGTTCAGAATAACAAAATTAAGAAATGTAACATTATAAACACAAAGTGGAACAATTCACACTATTAAAATAGAGTTGTACCTGTGGCCATTTAATGAGCATTCAGATTTGGTGTTTGATTTGAGGTTCAGTGAGAGATGTAGGAACAACTAGCGGATGCCCTCTACATAGTTAGCAGGCAGCATGCCAGACCTCCCCGTCCGCTGCACCGTTCCATACATCCAGCCTTCATCGATCGGCTGCACTTTCTGAATGATGTCACCCTCCCGGAATGACACCTCATCGTAATCCTGCGCTGTGTAGTCATACAGGGCCCTGTACACAGTCTGATGACCAAGTTTTTGTGCATTAAAAGTAAGTATTTTACATTACTGAATACATTTTATTCAAAAAGAAACATGAAGCATGGTATAGATGCTACATAAAATTGCAGAAAAATGAGGACTCACCATTCCCATGTGTTGTGCCGTCGGCTGCATTGGCCTCAGTGAATGCATGCTGGTCTGATGCATGTAGCTGTGGCCACTGGGATAGTATGCACCAGGGAGAACAGGTGCTAAAACAACAATGATCAAGATGATCTCTATCTCCAATAGTAATATTTTATTTTGATTCAAGTAATATACTGGTTTTGTTGTTCTTTGCCCTTTTTTAGGGTGCAGTACCGGGTTTGAGCATCTCACATTAGAGAACTTACCCACAATGACGCCAGGTCTTCGATCCATCTCCATGATGTACTGATGGACACCCTTGTGTGTGCTGTTCCCCACCGTCTCATGGTTAGG